TATTCTATTCTATTCTATTCTATTCTATTCTATTCTATTCTATTCTACTCTACTCTATTCTTATTCTTATTCTATTCTCTCTACAACCAGCCCTAAAGAATGTTGTGTCACATTGAATGAACTGGTAGTTTTATCTTCTATTTATAGATCTTTGACAGTGTTTCCAGATAAAATTCAAGATGAAATTATCATTACATTGGACGTCACAGTATCCTTTATACCTATAAATCCAGAACTAGCAAAAGAATCCATGGCAACAGAGCTACGCAATGCACCCGACCTAGCCAAACATACCGAGATTGAAATACCCAGAATCGTGGACCTTCTCAGCGTCTGCCTGACATCTACTTTCATTTGGATGGGAAGAAAAACAGACATAATCTATAACAGGGGTCTCCAACCTTGGGCGACTTTAAGACTTGGGGACTTCAATCTATAATATAGTGTAAAGATTGTAAAAGCCACTCTGTGGAAGGCAGAGCACATCCACGAATACCAGCTAGTAGTTGCATGACATAATAGAAACTCTTTAATTTCACAACTGTGAGCATCCTGTGAGCCTCCTAAGCCCAACTAAATCCAGAGACGCTAGAGAATTCCTGGGAGTTTGGCATTCAGCAGACACATAAAGATAAATCACATTTACACAATGTTTAAAAGAGACAACAGAAAAGCTAAGAAGGAAAAACCACATCCCACCAACACAGCAGGGCCAGGTACTGTATTTAAACAGGGAGTAAACCCCATCCTACTAGCACTGATCATGTTACCTCATTGGGTAATGAAATGTCTATAAGCCATCAACCAAGTTCAGAGGACGCCAAGGGACACCCACTGGATCCAGCCCTGAGCTATGTATATTCTCTTCCCCTGATACTTGGGGCATCATCACCTTTTAAAAACCCCATAATTCCTTGTGGCGTGACGTCTGGGCAACTGAACGGAGCTGAGTGTTTACTGGCCGGATGCCCTTCCTGTAGCCAATGCGGAGTTATATTCAGCAGATATATTTTCAACGTGCCCAGAGAGAGAAATTATCTGCTTCTACCTAGGATTGAACTCATGGCCTCCTGTTGTGAGGCAAGAGCTCCACCTCTAAACCACCGCACCACTCTAAGAGAAACAGAAGATGATGTCATAGATATGGCAAATTGAACTGAATTGAATTCTTTATTGTCATTGTACGTATATACACAGTATACACATACAACGAAATTCACATCATGCCCAGAGACCAGACTCAACATGCACACACACACACACACACACATGACAATCCCCAAACACCTCCCCACCCACCAAAATTCCCCACCCCCTAAAAACACACCAGCATCAGACCAAGTAATCCTGTCCAACAGTTCACTGATGGTGTCCCTTTAAGTTCATTGTTAAGTGCAATTATAGATCTGGGGAAAAAAAATGTTCAGGAAACATGTGGCCCGAGTTTTACTTGCTCTGTATTTTCTGCCAGAAGGGAACAGTTCATAAAGATTGTGAGCAGCATGGGAAGAGTCTCTGGGAATGTTGTGCAACTTCCGCAAACAGCAAGATGTGAAGATGTCGTCCAGGGCTGGAAGCTGGACCCTGATGATATTCTGGGCAGCTTTAATGATTCTCTGTAGAGCCTTTTTGTCTGCTACAGAGCTGCTCCCATCTCATGCAAGAATGCCATATGTCAGGACACCCTCAACGGTGCTGCAGAAGTACGACAGCTGAGACAGATTTATCCTTCCTGAGCATTGTCAGGAAGTACAGAATTGGGCCGAATCGAGAATTTTATGGAACATCCTTGAAAAACTATAAGTTGGTGAGCCTTTACAGTAAAAGCAGGCTCAGTGGCATCTCACTAAGAAAGAGATCAAACTGGAAGAAGCCGCTTGGGCCTCCCTCTCCTATCTCAATCCCGAAGATCGTTCTCCTGACTCTTGATTGTTTTCCTGAAGATGAGTTGCTGGAGAAAAAAGCTTGAGATGTTCAGACATTTCCTGATTGGCCACTGCTGTGAAAGATGCTGAACTGGGTGCGGCCACAGTGGGCTGGCTGAACAGGGGTGTCCTTTGTTCAAATCAAGTGGAAATAATGTTCTTCCTGGCAAATTCCCACGCTAATAGCAGAACACAACACAGGAAGTATGGCGGTGCGCCTCCAGATTACAAAAGAAAGTGCTAGATACAGTCCAGGCCTGCTTATTTCAAAACACACATTGTTCTCAGGCCTTCTTCAAACAATGCACAGCCAAAATAAAGCATCCCATATATCTTACTCTCTGAATCTTAAATAAAAACTTATTATCTTCACAGAGCAAAACTATCTTTAACAATTGAAACATTAGCCAGCAGAGGGCGCTCTTGGGCCTGGGACGAATCTAGGGAAACGTTCAATTTATGGCATAATCAAGAAAGGGTTGATGAATTTTTACTCTGTGTGGTTTTCTGGTTCCTTTCTTCCACCCCACCCAACAACTTTCCGGAGAGTTTCAGGCATATATAAGGATAGGTGCTCAACCATGCTGGTTAATTTGTGAATGCAACAAACACAGAGAGCATTTAGAACGGGTGAGAGACACACCCCTCACAGGCAAGCGAGGCAAGAGAAGGCAAGCGGCTTGCTGTTCTGTACTCCAGCTGTTCCTTGGTTCCCCCAGTGTTAGGTCTCTAAACCAGGGGCATCTGTGGAGAAGAGTAAAAAAATAACCAGGCGGCTTTTTTTTCCACACCTGGCCTGTGGAATGCTTCCATCTGGTCACCCTTGAAGCCCCGAAAGGCTGGCCTGCGACGTCTCTGCCTGTGAAAAGGGACCTCGGGAAGGCCCTGTGTGTTTCCACCGGCAGAGGGTTGCAGGAGGCCATGGCAGCTGAAAACGGAGCTCGGGAGCCCCTTTTCGCTGGCAGTGCTCAGGCCTCCATAGGCGCCCCCGACACGAGTCAAGTCGAGCTAGCCACACACACCCCGGTCATCACAACCCTTAGGCACCCCTCAATGAAATCGAGTTTGACACCCCTGCTTTAGAGAGATGAATTACACACACACACAAAGGAGAGGGCTTGGTCTTGATGCTTTTGACCACCCATGGATGCCTGGATTGCAATCTTTATTATTTCACTCCTACCTGTGGTGTGTACATTTCGCACAGTTTTCATAAATTAGGAAGAGATGAATATATGAGTCTCTCTAGGAAAACAGAAATGGATTCACCCCTCCTCCTCCTCCTCCACCACCACCTCCTCCTCCTTTCTCTTCCTCCTCCTCTTTGTTCATTCTGAGCCTTTGCTTTTGGGCTATCTGCTGATACTCTGCCTTAGTTATGTGTACTTCTTTCCATTTTTTGTACCGTACTTGTCCTTTTTATCTTCAGTTTATCAGAGAGATCTTTGTGCATGCTGGTTTCTTCTTGGATTTGTTTTTCTTTTTTCAGGGGTATTGTGTTGGACTGGGCTTTTATGATCATATTTATTGCTTGTGTTTGCATTATACTGAATTCCAATATGTTGTGGTCACACTCGCCCAAAGTTCCAGCAACTCTGTCGCTTCTTTATTAGTAAGAATTAAATCCAGTATAGTTTTTCTTCTAGTTCCCTCCTCTACAAAGTTGTCAGCTAGGTTGGTTAAGAATCTGTTCGATCCCCCACTTGCTGCAGAGTTTGTCTCCCAGTTGATATCAGGGTGGTTAAAGTCTCCCATTACTACTGTGGTGTGTTTCCTATATATGTTTGTTAATTGTTTCGCAAAAAGTTCGTCTCTTTCCCCTGCTTGGTTGGGTAACCTATAGTGTACACTCTAGCAATATCATTCTTTTTTTCTTTCCTTTCTTTATTCATTACCTCTAAAACAGGCTTTTCAGAAGATCC